TATGTCATGTGAACTATTTTTTAAATAGATTATTTAAAACTTCCCAGATAACCTATGTTTTCCTTAAATTGGGATTTAGGTGCATTGTGCAAATAGAAAAAGTTTAATCCAGATGCTTAGCCATTTTGATGAGTTGTATATGGTAGTTTTGACAAAGTTAAGGTGACAATGTAAGATTGGGGGAGGGGAAGAAAACTGCCACATTACTTGTGTTGGTAGTTGCAGTCTGTTTATATTCTTGTCCTATTTATGTCTCTTTGTCTTCTGATTATGCTCATGGCACATAGATAGACAAGTACCACCTTGGGATTTCAGCCACCTCTTGGCATTTAGGTCCACCACGTGTTTACCGAGAAACCAGAATACCCACTGAGAAAATGAGCAGAAGCCACGCAATGTGGTTTTTTCTATAAAGTCGTGTAACCCAGCAAAATGTTTGTGAGAGCGTAAGGAGCACGAATGGTGCTCATTAAAGCTGTGTGGTGTACAGAGCCCACTCACCGCCAGCTGAAGGACAGAGGCAAGAAAGGAGACTCTGATGGAGGGGGTCAACCACATACTCCCTAATGATTTATTTCACTCTCTCTTATTTGGATCTGTGACAATTGAACTTACTAAGTTCTAGTTTTTGTCTTGCCTTTGGACTTGCATGGAGTCTAAGACCCTATAGCCAGTAGGTGTTGAGGACTTTTAAATAGTTCATCTTCTACAGTGTTTCTCAGGCTATGGTGAGAGTCACAGAGGATTTCCTAAGGGAAGGGACCGTGGCTTCCAGAGCTTTGGACTGTGATTGCTGGCTCACCTGAGTGGGGAGGGGTGTGTGTGGGGGGAGAAATGTGCAAGCCCCTCTCCCTGCTGCGATGCAATGACTAATCCTTATAGAACCCGACCCATGAAGTGTTCTGCTAAGTACCCAAAAACCTAAATGTTCAAAACCTGATTTTGATGACAACAAAAGCAACAAAGAAATTGACCTTTAGCCAGGCCCAGTGTTAAGACAGCTTGCACTGTGTATGCCAGTAAATGCAGAAGCATTTAGGTTGCTCAGTGGCAAATGCTTTCTTTCAAGTTGATTTTAAATATTTTCTACTTTTTCAACCCATAATTCAGCCTTGCTTTAAGTGGATGCTTAACAAATTATTGGGGGTGGGAATGGAGATAGGATTTGAAGAACTCCCTCACTTTTTAAGGCAAAGAAGTAATTACAAAATAATAATAATAATAATAATAATAATAATGGATTTTTACTAGTCATTTACCATTTAGGCTCCTGCAGAACAGCAGCCTTCTGCTTATATGCTGGGAATAGACCTACTCCAGCCCACTCCCCTCAGCTGCACCATTCCTGGGCCTTTATGTGCTGCGGTTGCACAGAACTCGTGGCCTAGTAGCCTCTCCCTATTCCCTGTCAGCTTCACTCTACCGTGCTATCAGCTGAAAAGTGGACTGTGTTGTAGAAATTTTTTGAAACTACAAATTACATGTAGACACATGACAAAAAAATGAGCCTTACTAATGATCAAAGAAATGCAAATTAACACCAATGAGAAGTTATTTTCACTTACTTAATAATAAAAAAGAAAAGATTGTAATAACCAGAGATGGGAAAGGTTCAGCAAGGCCAGCGGTCCTCCGCACCACCTGAGGGAAGATAAAGGGGAGTGGCTAATCTAAGGTCAGATTTGACAATGGGAATAACATAATGCCCCTGCTCTGCTACTCATTCCTTTTCTAAGGATTCATTCTAAGTAATAATCTGACACATACTTAGTGTTTGTGAACAATAATTTTCCCAAAGTGCTTTAGAATGTAATCTACATAGATGTCCAACAGTGGTTAAGTAAATCATGGACATATGATAGAATACAAACCCATTAAAATTATGCACTTGAGGAATTTTTCATTATCTTGGAAGAAGTAAAACAGAGTGGCTAACTGAATGGGCTTTATGATCACACTTCTTGGGTCTGAATTCTTTCCCCCCCTCTACTTACAAGCTGTGTGATTTGGGAGAGTTGTTTAATCTCTCTGTGCCTCAGTTTCCTTATATATATAAAAGGGAGAAATAATGGTGGTTATAGAGTTAATGAAAGAATTCATTTGGCATGTTTTGCAGAGTGCTTGACACAGCATAAATGCCCAATCGATGTTAGACAAATTAACTTTTGTGCCTCAGTTTCCTCCTTTGTAAAATAGGAATGAAGGTAGTCCTACCTCAAAGGAGTGCTGGTGAAGCTTAAGTGAGTTTATGTCTACGACACACTTAGTATGAACCTAGCACATAGTAGCAGCTATGTTTAGTTGTTTGTACTACAAGTGGTAAGAAATGTTCACATAAAACAGATGCCTAGACAGTGGTCGGCAAACTGTAGCTCGCGAGCCACATGCGGCTCTTTGGCCCCTCGAGTGTGGCTCTTCCACAAAATACCGACTTCTGCGCATGGGCCACGGAGTTTCAATCGTAGTGTACGTGCATGCCCGCACGTGGTATTTTGTGGAAGAGCCACACTCAAGGGGCCAAAGAGCCGCATGTGGCTCGCGAGCCGCAGTTTGCCGACCACTGGCCTAGTAGAATGCTAAGGCTATTTGAAAATCCACATCCTTGCACACACACAGACTAGAAGATATCAAAATAACTGTCTCTTGGTAGAAAGGTTGTAAGTAGTGTTTGGTAATTTACTTTCCCATATTTTTCCAAAATTTCAACAATGAATACATATTACTTTCATAATTTAAAAAGCAAACAACAGTTTTAGAGTTGAAACTTTTTCTGCTTGACCTATGGTTAATCAAAATAATTGAGTGCCCCAAACTTCCTTTCAGTTAATGGTTTTTCTGTATAAAAGTCCTAATTTCTGGTGGTTTGTAGGCAGTCACTTAATATTTCTGTACAGTATAATTGTGTTCAGATTTTTTCTTCAGCTGCATTTGAACAGTGATCTTACTTTATTTTATTTTTTTTTAATCCTCACCCAAGGATATTTTCCCATTGATTTTTAGGGAGAATGAAAGAGAGAGGGAAAGACAGAGAGAAATATCGATGTGAGAGAAACACATTGATTGGTTGCCTCCTGAATGAGCCCCGACCAGGGCCAGGGCTAGAGAGGAGCCTACAACCTAGGTATGTGCCCTTGACTGGAATCCAACCCAGGACCTTTTGGTCTGCAGGCCAACACTCTATTCACTGAGCCAAACCGGCTAGGGCTGAACAGTGATTTTAAACTTTGGATGCATGGTAGACTCATTTGAGGAGATATTAAAATATACTGGTCTTGGACTCTTCACTAAACTGATTCGATCCAAATATAAGGGGGTGGGCCCTGGGCATTGACAGTTTTCAAAGGCTCACAAGGAAATTCTAAAGTACAGCCAGGTGGTGAACGGCAACCTGGAGTTAGGCTGGCATTTATGCCAGACTGTGCTACCATTTCCTGCCTGGTAGATAGTTCTGCCCATGAACAGAGTCAGCCCTGGAAGTATTTCTCACATGTCTGAAGGAAAGACTCCCCTGGAGTACTTTCCAGGGGAGTTTGGTTGAAGCATCATCCTGTACACCAGAAGGTTGCGGGTTCAATTCCAGTTCAGGGCACATGCCTAGGTTGCAGATTTAATCCCTGGTCAGAGCGCATATGGGAGGCAACTGATAGATATTTCTTTTTCATATGGATGCTTTGCTCTCCTTTGTTTTCTCTCTAAAAATCAATGAAAACATATCCTCCAATAAGGATTTTAAAATACACACTGCCGCCTGAATCTTAAGCCATTGACTTCCAGGGGGAGAGATTTGGTAATGTGTGTCTTTACTGAGCCCACATGAGGGAAGTGTGGGAACCGATCTAGAGCCGTGCTTCTGTCTTAGCCACACACTGGGAATACCTGGGGGACCTAGAAAAACGCTGATGCCTAGTTCCCCTCAGGCCTCCACCATTCTAACGTGGTGGAGCTGGGATACTGCCTGAGCATCAGAAGCTATGAAGTCCCTCCAGATTCTAATACGCAGTCATGGTTGACAACCACAGGCAGTGATGATTCTCAAAGTGGGGTGCTGGGACCAACAGTGCCAGCATCACCTGGGGCCCATTAGAAATGATCACTATGGTCCACATATGAGGGAGAGCATGTGGTGTCTGCCTTTTTCTAACTAATTTCACTTAGCGTTATACCCTCAAGATTCATTCATGTTGTCCCAAATAAAATATTTTATTTTTCTTTCATGGCTCAGTAGTATTCCAATGTTTCTATATACAAACAAGAGAAAACAAAAACCAACTGATAGATACAGAGAACAGGTCGGTGGTTACCAGAAGAGAAGAGGGTTGGGGGTGAGCCAAAGGTGTGAAGGGGATCAATCAATTATATGGCGATGGATAATGATTAAACTTTTGGAAGTGATAGTTTGTAGTGTATATAGATGTCAAATTATAATGTCATACACCTGAAACTTAAATAATAATTAAAAATGTACCTTGTGGCACCTCATCAGACCTGCTAAATCAGAAACTGGGGATGGGACCCAGAAGCCTGTGTCTTAGTAACCCTCTTGGATTCCTGTTACACATTGAAGTTTAAGAACCACTGCGACAGGGTGGGGCTGTGAAAAGCAGGTTCTCAGACTTGTTCACCCAGAACTCAGTGGTCTGGACTGAGCTGGGAATGGACTCCCAGTGGCCCAAGACCACACTTGAGAATCAATGCCCTCAGGTTTATCCTTGTTCCCTTGGGCATTCAAAGTTATAAGGGCCTTGACATCTTTCAAGTATAACCAGTGTCCTGATGTCTGTGGGCAGCCTGTTGCTGTCATTCCTAGGCCCTTGGATGGCAAAACATGTGACTGCCTTCCAGCCATAATTAGTGGGATGTGTTTTCTTTAAAATTGACAAGTACTCTAGCAGGGAATCTATTTTTCAAAAGTACTGTTCCACATTTGACTTGGATCACCAGTCACAGAAGCAGTGTGTGCTTCCTCCCTTGATGTAACTTCTGTGCCTCTTATTTTATAGGTTTTATCATCAACCCAGGCTGGCGTGGTCCTCTCAGCACCAAAGTGGTCACAACCATGCCTATTGGAGAAGAGGACAGGAGGTCGGTGGCTTGCTGGCTCCGAGAGACCGAGAAGACCTGGAGGTCAGAGAAGTGGCCCAAGCCCACAGTCTGCCCATCCACATGAGAGAGGGTTCATGGGAAGTTGGAGGAAGGACAGAGAATGTGATGAAGAAGGTGGTTTGGGAAGAAGAGCTGAGAATGGGGGGCCCTGACAAGTGGCAGAATGTAAGCCTGGAAAGCTGGAACCATACAAGGAAATTAGGAAGACAGATGTCTGATGGTGATGGGGAGAAACTGTTTCAAGATCTGTACCCATTCATGCGAGGAGAACAGGTGTTGAATTCTCAAAGCAAAGGGAAATCCCAGTCATTGCCTAGAGTTCTCTCCCCTAAGAGCCTGAGTTGCATGGAAATTCCGTTAAGTGATGGGTATTTACCAGATGTTTCTAGAATGCCATTTTTTCCTCCAGATTGTGCACCGAATTTGGAATCCACAAGGAACCCTGAGAAGGGTGGCTCCTCTATCCCCTTACCATGGCCCAAATTTGGGAGACCCCTCAAGCCTCCCTCCTATGACTCCCACCAACACTCCAGGGCGGGAGTGGAAAACAGCGACCATCTGGACAGCCAACAGGCAGACCTGAGTGTTTCCTACAGGCAGGAGGTCTGCCTGCCCGACTCTGGTTTGGAGCCTCCAGTGTACGTGCCTCCGCCATCGTATAGGTCACCACCCCAGCACATCACAAACCCCTATTCGGAGGATGTGGCCCCCAGGCATGTGTATGATGGTCGCCGTCATCCAACTGAGGAGGCTGCTGCCAGCTTTCAGCTTCCTTCTGGTTCCCTTGGGACTGGAAATGAGTTCCTGAAACAGCCCCATCCCATCACTGCTTACGATGGCTCTGTTCAGTATATTCCCTTTGACGATCCACGGATCCGACATATTAAACTGGCCCAACCCCAGGGTTTCTGTGACAAAACAAAGGTAGATGAGAAATTGTATAGCTCTGGTCCAGTCTCTGCCCCAGAGCCAGCTCATGGAAGCATGCATCATGATGGTGCCGTTTTAAACCCACAGAGCATCATGCCCGCATCAGAGAGAGAGAGAGGCCCTGTCCTTGCCAATCCCAGTCCCCCATGGCTGTGGGGCCAACTCCCCAGGGATGGAGAAAATGGTGGCTTTCCTGACCAGAGAGACCACTGTGTTATGAGAGGACAGTGGCCTGACGTGAGAGGCAGCCAACATGGACAAGCAGAAAGCCAAGTCTCCTCCCCAAACCCACAGGGCGAGAGTACCTGTGAAACCCAAACCAAGCTCAAAAAGTTTGAAACTGGGATTAAGACCAAGAAAAGTTCAAAGAAAAAAATGAACGAGACGATATTTTGTTTGGTTTCTATCCCAGTGAAATCAGAATCACATCTGCCAGATATAGATAGGAACAACAATGACTTAAAACAGAGTGCTGATAAGAAGCATGGGCTTGATAAGAGCCCAGCTCTGCAAGAACAAAGTCTGCTGAGCATGTCTTCCACCGACCTGGAGCTGCAAGCTCTCACAGGAAGCATGGCTGGGAGAACAGAGTTTCAAAAACAAGATCTGGGGGAACCAGAAGAAGACAAACAAACAGATGACCTCAGATTCATTCACCCCATGAAACACAGAGTACTCCAGTATTCTGGCTCGTGGCCAGGGCACCAGTACAAAGATCAGCAAACACAAACCACTTTCACGGAAGAATCCAAAAGCCCGCAGCCCCTCCCTGCTAAGTCAGGAGGGTCACCTAATGCAGTGCTGACTCCAAATTTTCTGGACCCTCCTGCCTCCGAAGCTCAGATGCACACAACGTTAGCTTCCAGTGACCAGAACCAGAAGCCAAATGTTCATCATCTAAAAGGTCAAGTGTCCCTCAACCCTTCTAGCGACAGTGCTTTTTCAAGGACTTCCTTACTCAGAAACCAGGCACCTATGCCAACAGTGGGCCAGAGTCAGCCCTGCATGGATGACCGTGGACGTGGACCCAGTCCTGTGCCCAGAGGCGAGGTGGTGAAGGGGGCAACCACAGGTCCATGCAATAGTCAACAGCTGTTTGGTCAATTTCTTTTAAAGCCAGTTAGCCGTCGTCCATGGGATTTGATAAGTCAGTTAGAAAGTTTTAATAAGGAGCTTCAGGAAGAGGAAGAGAGCAGTCAGAGCAGCAGTAGCAATGAGAGCAGTGAGACAGGATGGCAGCCAGAAGGCCATGCTGGCTGCACACTCAGGAATCTGGGCTTCACTGGGGAGAGCCAGGAAAGGAGAGGGAAGGAACCGCCAAGGGGGGTGGTGCCGGAGGAGCCTGTGTTTAGGTCGGGAAGAGGTAAGAGTAAGTCTGAGAGTTGGAGTGAGGAGCAGAAGCCTGCCACCTGCCACCAGCGTGCTCGTCCTCAGTACCTGGGCCCCTTGCAGGTGGAGGACAGCAGAGGTGAAGCGTTGCTGTCAACACGGGGAAGCCTGATTACAGAGAGGAGAAACCAAGATGTCGGGACAAGAATAAAAGAGCTAGCAGTCAGCCCAAGACCTGTGAAAAGAATAACATCTTCTAGGTCACGTGACACTGTGTCCTCATCTGCTTCAGCTGAACTGAGAGAGCCCCAGGAAGGGCAGGAGCTCCCCAGTGCTGTAAAGTCTGTGGAGCCCAGCCAAGCAGCCCCTCCCACACCTGGTGGTGGGGAGGAGAGGAGCACGGTGGGCCCCCTCTCTCTTGCCAGCAAACCTTTCGGACTCTCGGTACCAGACTTGAGGTCCGTGGGGCTGACTCCAGCACAAGAGTGGAGTGCCAGTAAGTTAGATGGGTCTTCAGGTGACAAGAGTGCAGTAGAAATCCCCCCAAATGAGTCCCTTCAAATGAGGGCTGCGAGGATACTGGGCATCGAGGTGGCCGTGGAGTCCCTGTTGCCGGGCGCCAGGAGAACAGGACATAACCAGCCCTCTGAGCCTGATGGCAGTGCCCGAAGGTTGGTGTCCCCTAGGGAGGAACCAGTGTCCAGTCCAGCACAGCCAGATGAGCCCACAGTTTCCAATGATGCCTTTTATGGCAGGAGAAAGTGTGGCTGGACCAAAAGCCCTCTGTTCGTAGGGGAAAGGGACAGTGCCCCGCAGGCTCCAAGGACTTCTGAACTCTCTGGTGTGGACAGGGTCGTCCCCAGCAAGGCCACTGACCCAGAGTCTCAGCCCAGTGACTTGGAGTCCTTCAATCACAAGGGCATGGGGACAGAACCACCCTTCAGGTCCACTTTGTTCCATTTTATAGAAAGGGCTCCAAATGTGGCAGGATCAGAAAAGAGGCTCAGAAGTACTTCCAAAGTGATTGAAAGTTTACAAGAGAAACTGGCTTCCCCCCCCAGGCGAGCCGACACTGACCGCTTGATGAGGATGAAAGAGGTGAGCTCCATGTCTCGGATGAGGCTCCTGAACTCCCGGAGCACTGACTCCGTGGAGGATGCTGAGGAACTGAAGGCTGAGAAGGGCCCAGGAGCTCAGCCAAGAGGCCTGGTGTCTCTGACCACTGGGGACCTGGCCCGGAAGGTGGGAAATACATTCTCTGTCTCCAAGAGCGCCCTCTCACTGGAAGAAAATGGGCATCTGGAACCAGGAAGGGAGAAGAACTTGGATCGGGACTTCTGGTGCCCAGGTGAGGAGTCAGGCAAGTGGCAGGTGTTTGTTTGTTTATTTTTTAATTCTCACAGGAGGATATGTTTAGAGAGAGGAAGGGAAAGAGAAACATTGATGTGGGAGAGAAACACAGATGGAAGTGTCACTTGGTTGCCTCCTACACATGCCCTGACCAGAGATGGAACCCGCAACCCTTTTGGTGTACGGGCTGATGCTCCACTCAACTGAGCCACCCGGGCAGGGCAGGCATTCAGTATTAATTTGGAATCCTCGGAGCATGAAAAAATACTAGGTTGATGGATAATGAAAATTTGCATATTCAGAAAAGATCAAATTGACCCTGCAAATTATTATACCAGAAGATTTTACAAAATATTATCTAGAAGTTTCCTGAAAAATCAAGATCTTGTAGTATATTTTAAATGACTGTCTTTATAGAAATTACATAAACTACTATATCAAATTATCCATATAAACAACATACTGGGCCCCTTACTGTGATGAGGTGAGTCAATGAATTATTCTAAAGTTGGTGCAGACACCTTGAAAAATCTTGTAAGAGACCATAGCATTTGTGCTCTGTACTCTCTCCTAAAATAATAGGCATTCACCCACATAATCCTCATTGCTCTTTATTAACCTTGAAAGAAAAGATATGCAAGTTGATTAAATAAACTACTGCCCACATTTCACCTTCCAAATTCCTTGCCCTTCTTCCCATTTTTATCTGTTTTCACTACCACACCATTTATGAAACTTTAGTACACATAAATTAACAGTTTTCACTTTCTCAACACCCACCCCTAAAAGTCCACTCATTAACTCTGTTTCTTTAAAGGCCCCTAAGTTCTGATTTTGAAATCCCAGGCGACTCAGTTTGGGCAACAGCATTCTGCAGGCGTTTGGGCCTCTCCATCCTTTCACCTTAAGGTATCTTGAGAGCCTTCTCTGTTTCATAAAGCCAGGGCAGGTCCCCAGTGACAGCAACAGTGATTTTCCTCGAACACAATTTCATCATCTCAACTATGACACAAACAGGCCAGGAGAACCCTTGGCATCTCTGTTTCAGACACTTTCTTCAGGGGCTGGGGATTATCAATTATGTATTTAAAAATGATCAGATGAGTTGAGGTAGTTATCCAAATGTCTGTATCATAAACCACAGACTGGGGGAACCTTAACTCATTAATTCAGACCTTTTCACAGTAAGCTGAAACTGTGCCCCCTGAGATGAGTGTTACCCCACTACCCTAGGACCCCAATCTGACCTCCTGAGCCAGGCCCCTCCTCCTTCCAGTTTGCCCCAGCGGGATGGTTCCCCACCCTGCTTCTCTGTTTTTTATTTTGAAATCCAAGGGTGTATTTATTTATTTACTTTTCCATAAGGAGAGATGTCATCTAAACATCTCCCTTTTCAGAGTTCAAAATGTCAATATTTCTTTCAGCTTCTTTTTACTTGTTTTGAAATAGGTTTGAACCTTGTGGTGATTCTTATTTATTTTACCCATTTTCCCAATCTCCCATCCCCTTTGTTAACCATCAGCTTGTTTTCTATATCTGTAGGACTGTCTCTGTTTTGTTTTCGGTATTCATTTGTTTTTGTTATTTTTAGATTTCACATGTAAATGAAATAATATGGTATTTGTCTTTCTCTATCTGACTTATTTCATTTAGCATAATACCATCTAGGTCCATGCATGCTGTCACAGTGGCAATATTTTATTCTTTTCTATTGCTGAGTAATATTCCATTGTATATATGTACCACAACTTTTTTATCCATTTATCTATCAATTGGTTGCTTCCACATCTTGGCTACTATAAATAATACTGCAGTAAACATAGGGTTACACATATCTTTTTGAATTAGTGTTTTTGTTTTCTTCAGATAAATACTCAGAAGTGGAATTGTTGGGTCATATGGCAGCTCTAATTTTAATTTTTTTAAGAACCTCCATACTGTTTTCCACAGTGGCTGAAATATATTTTATTGATTTTTTACAGAGAGGAAGGGAGAGGGATAGAGAGTTAGAAACATCGATGAGAGAGAAACATCGATCAGCTGCCTCCTGCACATCCCCCACTGGGGATATGCCCGCAACCAAGGTACATGCCCTTGACCGGAATCGAACCCAGGACCCTTCAGTCCGCAGGCCGACGCTCTATCCACTGAGCCAAACTGGTTTCGGCTGATCTTTTTTTTTTTAATGGCAACCATTCTAACAGGTGTGAAATGATATCTTGTTGTGATTTTATTTTGCATTTCCTTAATGATTAGTGATGTTGAGCATCTTTTCATATGTCTGTTGGCTATCTGTATGTCCTCATTGGAAAAGTGGCTAGTTAGGTCCTCTACACATTATTTCATTAGATTTTTTATTTTTTTTGGAGTTAAGTTGTCTGAGTTCCTCATATATTTTGGATACTAACCCCCTGTCAAATGTATCATTTGTGAATATGTTCTCCCATTCAGTAGGTTGCCTTTTCCTCTTGGTGATGGTTTCCTTTGCTGTGCAAAAACTTTTTAGTTTAATATAGTTTAATGTGTTTACTCTTTCTTTTGTTATCCTTGCCCAAGGAGATATATCAGAAAATAATATTACTAAGAGAAATGTCACATAGTTTACTGCCAGTTTTCTTTGAAGAGTTTTATGACTTCAAATCTTATATTTAAGTATTTAAATCATTTTTACTTTTTTATATGGTGTAAGAAAATGATACAGCCTTATTTTTGCATGTCTCTGTCCAGTTTTCTCAACATAACTTGTTGAAAAGACTATCCTTACCCCCTTGTATATCCTTGCCTTCTTTGTCATAATTAACCATATAAGCAAGGATGAAATCCAAGAATTTAAAAGTAGATGGAAAAGATCACTTGTTTCAGTTAGAAGAATCCAAATATTTTTGTCAAACAAAAACATCTACTTGGCGCTTTTTAAATTTTCCCAGAAATGCAGTATGATTCTTAGGAGTGTTAGCCAATGTTGCTCTGTGCCTTATGCAAAATGCTACATGATTGAAATAACTGATTTGTCATGGCCTTCTTTGACCATCTCATTTGACAAATTTGGTCTTTGCTGAGGACAAGAACCTTTGCCATTATGGTGGAAAAATGTTACATGACCCATTTTTGGGGCTGTGGGCATTTATTAGGCTTCAGCATAATTCCTCCTCTCCTTTGCCCCCCAAAATATGCCCACTCATGTGTAAGTGCTAGTTAAGAAGACATTGTAGCTTTTAAGATGAGTTTCTTTATCTATAAAATTAGGATGATTTTATCAGTCCTACCTCATCCTGAGAATTATAAGGACTTTAAAATAAGACAAATCCTATTAAAATAAAACACCTGTTTGTAAAGATTTCTATGTCCCAGTCTATGGCCACATATTACAGGTAGTATTTTATAACATAAAATTTCTAGTTCAATAAAGCACTCCCTTAATTTTAGCTTACCATCTGACATGTGAATGGGATGGGATAGGTATCTGAAAACACTTAGATAATGCCAATTTTAATTTTATTCAGTCATTAAAAACACCTCCCCTGTGGCCTTTTTTTTTTTTAACCATAGTTACTAACAAGTAGAAGTATTTTTTTCTTCTCTTCTGATGTATTTGTTAATGTATAATAAAATGACCAAAAATCTGAAGGCAGAGAGCAACTTATGATGACAGACAGCTACCCCAGGCATTCTTAAGTAATTGCATAGCAGGACACTACTAGGGAAGTTTTCTTACATGTGCAGTGGCCCAGATGAAACTCCATCGGCCTTTCATGTGATGGCCATCAGGCCTCAGTATTCAAATTAGTTCTTTGGAGAGATCATATGACTGAGGTAGTAAAATTTTTCACAAATTTTAAATTTTCTCTTCAGTGTTGCTTTACAAATTAGAATAAAGCTTTGTTGCTGGTAAACTTGGACTTTGTTTTACTTTTGCTAAATTTTATTTTATTATTCATTTATTTTAATCCTCAGTGGAGGACATGCTCATTAATTGATTCTAGAGAAAGGGAAAGGGAGAGAGAGACCAAGAGAGAAACATCATTGTGAGAGAGAAACATCAATTGGCTGCCTCTGGTATACACCCTGCCTGGGACTGAACCTAAAACCTAGGTATGTGCCCTGACTGGGAATTGAACCCAAAACCTTTCAGTCCATGGGTCAGCGCTCCAACCAACTGAACCACATTGGCCAGGGCTTGCTAAGTTTTATTTTGAATACAAGACTCCTCATCTCTATCCCCACCCCACCCCTGCCTCCATCACCCCAATGTATCAGAACTACTTCACTGCTCCTAAATGCACAGCCCACTCAAATTTAGATTTTGTTATGGAATTTCAAAATGAGAATATACCATGTTTATCTATAAGTGCTTCCCCCCCCACACACGACCTTCCAGAATTTTATTATCTATTTATCTATGTGGCATTATAGTACCTATCATCATGAAGTGTCTTTATCTCAGTTTAAAGATGGGCATTTCAGCTAACATCTTTTCAGTGGGCTTTTGGGGCACTGGCTAAGAAATCAGCAGCTCAAAACTAAGTCAGGGAACAGAATGCTATCTCCACTAGATGGATTATGTTCCAATTCACAATGTAATCCCAGGCACAGATAGTGTTCCATTCACTTCCATATATCCTCTTAATGTGCGTGTGGAGGAGAGACTGCCTCAGGGCTGCAGTGAGGAAAATCTGGGAAGGTTTGGTGAGGCCACATAATGGTATTAGAAGGCTAGACATTAGCACATCTTTAAGGGGGTGGTCACATGTGAAATATCCCCTGGGGCAGGCTTAGTGACTTCTCTTCACCTAAACATTGCCCACAGGAGCCAGGATTCCAGCTCCTCAGAGAACCTCTCTGTTCTCTAGACCTGGCTGGCAGTGTGGTAGCCCTGTCGCATGTGGTCCTGAGCACTTGAATGTGGCTCATCCCAACTGAGATGGGCCATACGTGCAAAACACACACCAGAGCTCAAGGCGTAGTACAAAAACAACCTAAAATTTCTCAATTTTTATATCAATTACCTGTTTAAATGATATTTTGGGTCTATTTGGTGAAATAAAATATAGCATTAAAATTAATTTCCCCTGTTTCTTTTTATTTGGTTTAACGTGGCTACTGGAAAATGTAAAATAATATTATGTGGCTCCTTTTTAATGGACCCAGATGCTCCATGACCTGAGGAAGGAGCCCATGTTCTTCAGAATTCTCTTCCACTCTGTCTTTTGGCCCCTAACTTCAGCAGTGGGGCTCTGGAGTGCAGGCACGTTCTGTGGAGGTGTCCCCAAGTACCTGGCCCTGAGGGCTGGTCAGTGCCCAGGCCTATGTGATTTGAGGCCTCCCAGATGCTCAGCCTCTTCCCCACCTCTCACCAGCTGCAGTGCACCCCTTCCAGAGCCGCCATACGTGACCGCCCACCTCATTCTCAGTGGGGAAGGAGACCTCTTTGCTCACAGGCGGTCCCTATCAGAGTCAGCTCCCGGTGAGGCTGGTGCAGCGCAATAGTGGCGCTCAGCTGTTAACATCCTCTCGTCCCACTAGATGGTGTTCTGGGTAAGAAATCAGAAGGCACTGGCTCTTGGGACTCCGCTGGCTTTAGTCTGATGGGCAGTTAGTGCAGTGAATCACGTTTGAGGAACAGCAAACTCCTCTTCCCAAATGCAAAGACTGCCCTATTGGTTCAGTGTCAGAGTCGGAGTGCTCTAGATGCTGTCTCGGTTGTCACAGTTGTGGCTTCGTGCAGTAAATATGTTGTAGTTGAGCAGGTGTGAGGAAGAGGTGCTGCTGGAGACACTGGGATCTGTGTGGGCTCATAATACAGTTCTCCAGATGACTTGAGAAGTGATTGTTTGTAATACTTCTTATAACTATCAAATTGTACCATCCTTCCAGATTTCTTATGTATCCTCTCCTAAAAAGTTAGAAAACCTTTGAGCTGCTGTGGCAGGAATTTCTGACCATAGGAGGCAGATGTGTGAGCTTCAGGTTTGCCTGGACCCAGAGATCTGTGACTCGCAGGTGGTCACAGTCAGCATCACCGGCTGCAGCACTAAGGACAGGTTAGGGCTGCTGCTTGCTGTTTTGTTTTGTTTTTGTGGTGTCCCGTCTGGGAAATCTAGGACATCTGGGCCCAGTTTGGGATTTTCCAGTGTGGGCTACAGAATGGGTCCGTGGGCAGTCCAGACTCATACCTATGTGTGGAAAGGCCCAGAAGATTTGTGCTAACAGGCCTGTGTCCAGCCCTGGGCTGGCTGGTGGCAGTCAGAGGCAGGAGGCCAAACAGTCAGGATTTCTGGGTCCTCAAGCTTTCCGGTGACAGCATTCGGTCATGAAGATGCACACAGCAAAGCAAACTTTCATTAGAATTGTAATTTACCAAAAAATTTAAATAATCCTTGGTATCAGCCAAGCACACCACTGCTGGTTAACAGACATCACATTTAAGGTTGGTTATATTTCATTATGAATAGCAGGAAGAGACCATCAAAATATTAAGCAACTCACATTTTTCCATTGGTGATCATACATGTCCCTTTAAAACAGCTTTATGATGACAGTTTTTCACTCAGTGAAAACAAGATTGTTGAAATAGATTTTGCTCCCTAAACATATTTATCTGTGGTCTGAGGATCAGACAGGAAACAGACCAGTTGAATATTCCACTAATTTTCTTTTCTATCTTTTTTTTTTCTTTTTTTACAGATTCGTATGACCCTAGCAGAGTGGAGCGGGTGTGATGAGATGCCAGTGAAGTGCATCCACCATAGTTGCAAATTGAGTGTTCTGTATCAGCTGGAAACTGCTGGCTGTTAGTGCTCTGTGGTATCACTACCCCTGCTACCAGGAGACTCGTCATGCCTTCAGAATCGCTTTGTGGAAGTAAAGAAGTAGTCCATTGAAACTATCTGTTTTTACAAATGAAGAGTTAATACCTGTGTTTAGAAGAGTCACATGGACTCTCCTGCATGATGGATTTAGCCAAACTGGTAAAATGTTTGGTGTTAATCTGCTTCTGTGACAATTTGAACATGGACAATAGAGTGAATGATTTTTGAAATGACTGTGAATGTCATAAATTCCCTTTCACATCTCCAGGGCCTATGGTCCATGCTCATGTAAAGGAATTTGGGACAGCGTTTCTGCACTTTGAGTTTAGGGGAAATGTGAATGACTATATCTGATCCATTCTAATCAATTTGGCCTTCTGCTGCTGGAAGTAACTTCACTTATAAGTAACTTGCCATCAGAGACTAAAAGCAATATCTTTTTAAGTTCCTAAAAGATTAAAACTTACTATAATGTACTAAGAATATTATTTATCTTGTAATGAAATATTTTGCTCGTTTGCAAACATGCCATGTCTGCTTTGCACTCAGTATTATCTATTTTTATTTTCTGTATGGACGTTTAGAAATTCTTTATATGAAAAATAATTGCTGGTTTAAAATAGACCATTTTAACAAAGTAACTATATTTCTTTTTACAAAAATGCTATTTTTCTATGATGTAAACAGTTGTTAGGTGGCAGATTTTTAAGGGAGTTTTATTTTATTTAAGAATCTGTATCCCTTTGTGTGAGAGAGACCCACAGAGGGTTCACATCTGCTTTAAAGCACATATCCCTTACCCACTCACAACTTGGCTATTTTTATTTTATCTTAGAAAGAGATCTCAATACAGGATTAAATAAACTTTTCACAAAAGTTTTTTTTTTTACAAATATAACTATAAGGTTATATGTGAAAATAATCCTCTCAAAACCAGCCAATGTCCACAATTTTTGCTGCCATATCCACTAGAATTACCAAAAAGTGTAGTTTCATTTTTGTATATCTATGGGGGTCTGCCCTGAGACCATGCTTTTCTCCCCCAACTCTTTAAAAATATGTATTTTTATCTAGAATGATCCTTACTTAATCTCTGCATATTTTAAAAATGTGCTAGAGACATATATATGCCATTACAAAAGTATTATGAGGCCTATGTATTCTACTGTGTTTACTATTGCATTATCCTGCACAAAGTTTATGCATTTTTATGCATTTGTTCCTTCTTTCTAAGTAAGGTATTCTTGTTAGCTAACATTTCCTGAATGGGTTCTTGTCTCCTCCCTTCTTCCCTTTCTCCCTCCCTCCCTTTTCTTCAGTTCCTTCTTTTTCTTTTTCTTTTTTAAATCTCTCTCTCTCTCTCTCTCTCTCTCTCTCTCTCTCTCTCTCTCGGCTTTTTTTCCTTCTTTCCTTTTCTCTCCCCCCCCCTTTTTTTTTTTTTTTTTTTGAGAAACCACCTGATCTATTTTTAGACATTTCAGATTCCTAAAATGTGAATTGTTGGGTGGTCTGCAATTTGGCCCTAAAACAATTCTGACTGGGCTTTCCTGGCCTGCTTTTATCTGTAACATATGATTTTATTTCATAAGAACTTCATGTATTTGGACTGTAATAAACAATACAGGATCTAAATAATTCTGAAAAATCATTTCGAATACACTTATCTGTAGTCTTGGTTCCTACCTATTACTCATAGCCACTTCTTTCCTGATTTTTGGCTTTTGTGAAAAGTTGTAGTAGGCTCTTGTTTTCACAACACAAAGAGAAGGGCCAAGTGTCTGCTAGGCATAGCTTAGATTGTTTTTCCCAGGAAAAATTTAGTGCGTAAGAGGTTTATTACTCTGTCATGGTCAGTGAATCACTTAAGTAATCTGGTAGAACTAAATGAGGGCGGTTACATGTTTCCCTCTTTAAATGCAAGTGAAATGCATATATCTGCATATGTTTATATATATACATATATATAAACATATATATATACACATATATACATATATATAAACATATGCAGATATATATGTACATATACATATAGACACATACATATATACATACATATATTTGAACTGTGTTCTGACTTCCTTCTAAATTTTGTTGATCCCATATAAAGACTTCTTTTAATGAAAAGAATTAAATTTTCGTTTATTCCTCACGAGAAAGAGAAGAATCCTAAAGAGAAAAAAAATTAATGTACCTTATGTTTGATACTTTTATTTTGTTTTATTCTAAATTATTATAGTTTTCTGAAACCATTCTGAATTTAGTTGAAATTATCAATATTTATACTTCTAACTTTCATTTCTGGATTCCAGCTTGAATATAGGAACTTTGAAAATTTGACTTTTAAACTTGTGTATTCTAAGATAAATAATACAGTCTAATCAGAAATAGCTTTCCCAGAGGTTTTGAATTTAATGATAGTTATTCTTTTATTACTTCTATTGCTCATACATACATACCTCTTTGTTATTAGTTGTGGCTGAAATTTTTTTTGTATTTTGTATTTGTCATTGTTTTTCTCATATGTTTGACTAACTTTTGGTGTTTAATAATTTAGGGCTTATAAAATTAAATTAAAAGTTCTAATTTTGACCATTTGAACTAAAAATTATATGAGGAATTATGTATGAAATGTATTTGTATTTCTTAATTGTAAAAGTAGGGGAAAATATTGGTATATAGCTCTAATTACTTCTTTAAAGAAAATTTCTGAATGATTGAAAACCAAATATCTTTATTAACATTTTCAATCTTTCGTTTCTGCAAACCACAGAAAACTTCTTAGAAGTACAGCCCCTGACTGCAGGTTCAGAATCTTTTCCATGTAGTTTCTAACTATTTGGGTTTCTTTTTTAAAAGTCACTTAAAAATGTGTCTACTCTGAGATCCTGGTGTCCATACTAGAAATGTAGGTTGAGGTTTTGATTCATTTGGAAAATCTAAGTAGAACTTTTGCTACTCAAAAGTTCTGACTGTTGGTGAAGGGTTGGTGTTAATGCAAGTTCAAGTGCATAAACTCCAATGATTGTAAAACTACACCCTGACCATTTTTTGTGACAGTAAAAGGACTTACTCTGATAGAAGTTTGGTTTAAGGGCTTCTGAGGGGAAATGCTGAGCCCTATCCACGACTGACACAACTACTTCCCAGCTCTGAGCAGAAGAGACCAATGGAAGATAAGATTAACCCACATTTCATCTGGTCCCCAAGGATTATGTTTATGTGTTTTGGCTATTTTGTTGTTTTGTTCTGTTTAAAATGGTTAAATAATACACAGTTAAGTATCAGGTTAGCATCCTGCAAAGTGACCAGTGCAGCAGAATTCTCTCTAAATATCTGAGCTTAGAGAAACACTTCCAGTTTTCTAAGTTTTTGTAGGCAGTTACTTTTGTGTTTGGGCCATTGTTCTGCTAGATCATCTGCAGGAGGCATGAAGTGTAAGGGATGGAGTGAGGGATGGGAGTGTGTTTCTTGAACTGAAGCTGTTAGAGTAGGCTTATGGGGGGAGATGCATTTTCTGTTATGCTTTTCATTGCAGATTCTGTACATCTGTTTGTGGGAGGAGAGCTGCTACTCAGGACAGGATTTAAGAGACACATTCCAAGTGACCTTTAAGAATCTGCATGGTGGGAGGTCCTTTTCCCAAACTCTGGGTTGGTCCACTGTGGGACTCACCCAGGGAAGATGATAAAATAACATTAAAGAAAGAATGGTCCCCAGCCTGCATGTTAAGGAGTGATTAAGACTGCAACTCAGATTAAAGTCCTTTGGAAAGATCTGTATGTTCTAGCAAACTGCCCGTGGAAACAATCCTTAAGTTCATCAGCAGGGCCACGAGATGGGCAGTGCAGCGAGGTGGGCAGAGTGCGCCTGTGCGCACATTCCTGGCTTTGACTTTTGAGAGCCCCTGTCAAAGCTGTGTTTAGTACAGGGGACAAGAAGGACCTTGTGCTGTGGCCTCTGACTGAAACTTTAACCCAAAGGCAAGTCTGGCTATTTGTCCCAATGCCTTCATTTGGGGTGAGGAGGAGCGCTCCCCCAACCAGTAGTCCCTTTCCCCTGTGGAAGCCAGAGGGGCAGCTGAATGTCTTCAAGGAGCTCTTGTATTTCTCTGCGTAATGTAAAGACTTCTTATTTCAGGATGACTGACCTGCTCAATGACACACATGTTCCAAATAAAGATTTTGCATGAAAGTACCTATGTTCATTGTCTTTGGCTGTGGGTGCCAGAGCTGCCCTGTAAGCCTTAAAGGCTGGTCCCCAGAGGGCAGCAAGTTGCACAGAGCACGGCTCAGATGGTGTAGGTAACAAAGGGACAGGTGGCCCAAGATGTCCCAGCACCTTTAGTCTCCACCAAATACTAGTATTTCCTGGGTGTTGAAGCTCCTCTTCACGTTTTTCACAAAGGCTTGCTGACGTGGGGACTTGGTTTTCATTTCGAGTCCATCACTAGCCATGTAGCCTTGCACCCTTCTCTACCCCAAATTCTGTTTTCCAATCTAACCTCTCTTACTCCTTGACTATAAGAATCAAATACATAGAAAAGTGCCGGGGTCTTTTCCGCATCTACAAGGGTTCAGGAATCTGGAGAAGGGCTGTGCATAAATGAATGACAAGACTAGAGAAGAAATATGAATTTGAAAGGCATTTTGGGGTGCCAGAGGGAAACTTAGTTCTAGTGACTAAGCTCTCCAAATCTCCAGACCCTTGGCTTTTTATTCCCACATTTTGCCCTATAGCAAAGCAGATATACATATCAAAAATAAGGTTTGGTAAACAATAAAGTATTATCAAGTTGGGGGAACTGCCCTCAGCTGTCTGGCAGCAGGCAATAATATATGCAGATCTTCAGCCCTGCTGAAGCCCCAAGGTTCATCAGCCTTCTGATGAACTTCTTGCATAATTATCACCTGCTGGAGTTTGCTTCCAGCAGAAAAGCCCCTGGCACACTGTGGCATTCCATGCATGGAAAGTGAATGTAGACCTGTACTTTATGGGGAACAGAGTAAATAAATGTGTGTCTGGCAGCTTGTAGGTTTTAAATCCAGGCCGGCCTTGGTCTTCATTCAAAGATCCATCTCATTTCTAGTATTGGGATTCTAGAAGCAGAAGCACATGCTTTAGATTGGTTTCTAGTAGCTCAATAAACATATAAGCTGTTGTTTCTGAGTTTGGTCCTTCTTTCGGATTTAAGCACCTTGTCTGTCCCATTAGCTTTTGTAGACTGTTGTCCTTGTTCCTTCCTTGGCTCTGAGTGTATGGGTCTCAACACTTGAGTGTACCAGGGCCCTCGTAGTAGTCTGAAATTTCAGATCATGTTGAGATGTGGGTTTTGAAATAAGAGCTATTCCCAGTTGGTTGATAATTGAATCCATATATTAAAATTTAACTGA